ATTACTCAATATGCTCTTTGACGGTCTATCAATGGTTAAGTCACAAACTTTCATAGTGCTTTGGGAAATAAAAACCATTTCTGCCCCAGAGTCTACTAAGGTTCGGATCTTCACTTGGTTGATATAAATAGTTAAATATCCGCAACCCATGGTTGCAAATCTCATCTTACAACTTGACAATGACCTGCCCACTTGAGCAGGGAAAACTTCTCCCAAATAATTGACTTCCACTTTTTTTTTTCCTGTCACTTTCTTAAGTTTCTCTCTCAACTTAGGTACTCAAGTCATTACTTGTTTGAAAGTTAGAGTTACATTTGTTTTCTTTAGCATCTTTGTGATTACATTCCTGATTATAATTCCATCTTCCAATTCACTCTTGATGATGAACTTTCTCATCTTCCCTTGTTCATTTTTTCCAGATGAGGGATTCAATTATAGATCATCAAGAATGCCATTCAGGGTCTTTTCAACTTTCTTTCTTTTATTTTCCTTGATCATCTGAGGTGTCAAATTCACTTGAAGGTTTCTTGCCTCACCAACCACCATATCAGGTTGCATGATGACTTCTGATGGTAAGTCACCTTAAAAAAAAATCATGTTAACTGGACAAGTGGGTTCATCAAGAGGAAATTCTACTAACTCCGAAAAAATCTGAGGAATACAATTTTCTTTTAGTAAATGACCACTTGAAACAACTTCATTATAAAATTATTCCACCAGAGTCAAGGACCAAATCGACAAATCAGTTATAGCTGAAGGATCATCCGACTTCTGTAAAAGTTCCTCGAACATCTCACCTACAAGAAAGTAAACACTTACATTAGTCTTTCTCGTATTCTTTCTTTTAATATTTTCTTCATGTTTAAGGACAAGAAGTCTCATACCACCATGATGCCTAGGATTCAAGAGCAAGGAAAGGGAGAAGAAAACAATTACAGCTTGCCGCTAATGGCGCAAAGGAGGTCAGAGAAGCGGGGAAAGACTGTTTGTGGAATTTCAACGGAAGTGCGATGTTGAAAGTTGCACGCTTGCATAATAAAAAAAACACCCAAATGGCTACATGAAATGCCACTAAAACCGCGCCTAATTCCTAAAGCCCTAATTGAAATTCAAAAGATTGAAAAACAAATTCACGAGCAGAATCTAAAACGCGCAAACTCCTATACCTATTCCTACGCTAACATCTATCAACAAAAATTTCACTAGGTGTGCAAGGGCATCTCCAAAAGTATACATGCACGAAAAGAGGATTTGTAACCAAGTATCCCGATATGCACCTGCAATTTCCGAAGTCAAGAAAATATTAGGAAAAAGGATTTCTAGTGAGCTCGCTAAGACACGCGTAAATTCTACGTAAAACTACAACAAATACAAGGAAAATTCTGAAATTCGCAAAAACGAAGAGTCAAGTTTGACTGACGTGTCCCATGCATCGGGATGTATCAAGGGCAAACTCTGTGAACAACAAAAGGTCAAAACAAGAGAACGAAGACATCCTGGGCCTGTCACTACTATCCGCCGAAAAAACAACCTGGACCGGGTAGAGGAACTAGAACTCAATTGGATTGACCCCGATTACTCGAAAAGCACTGAAAAAAAGGAAGGGGCTCAGGAACCTGCTCACGCATAGAAGTTGGTGCGTCACACCTCTCCGACTTCCAGATCCTTTCCAAGTGGGTGTTTTGTCCATGGTGGATACACAATGGCATGGGGGAATATGAAGGATCCTACTAACTAAAGGATGAAGGCGTGTAAGCTTGAGAAGTTTTTGTTTTCACCTTGCAGTGGAGCAGAAGAGGCAGGAGTCACGTTCATCACCCCTCTCAGTCAATCCCCCGGGGAACTGGGGTAATCGATGCTGGCTGGCTAGAGTGTACTCTTGAGACACAAGATCCATTATGAAGAGGCATGCCTCACATTCATCACCCTGCTCAGTCAATCCCCAGGGGAACTGGGATAATCGATGCTGGCGAGCTAGAGTTTCCTCCTGAGACACAAGAACCATTATCTGTACCCATAGGACACTGGAGCCCATTTCCAGCAGGTCTCGCTCCCCTCCAATAGAAAGGAGCAACCAGCGTACTGTCCTAGTAGTAGGGGCTGCTTGTTCTTTTTTTTCTTATACCACCACTTCCTTTTCCCATGTGGGCAGGCCTCCGGATCTTTAGGAGACCGAAACGAAATGACGGCCGCCGATGAGATTTATCAACAGTGCTGGGCCCGGCCTTCGATTTTTTAGGAGTACGATACTTTCTCGTTTTCCCAACAGTGGTGGTTAAAAAAAAAATAAAGAAAAAAAACACAAAGCTCCATCTATTGGTGGGGAGCAACACCTGATGGAAATTGGGTCCAGCATCCCTGTATGATCTGGAGAACGGCTCCAGTGTCCCACTGTACTGTTCTGTCTCGAGATATAGGTGATATCAGGTCTATGTTCAATTCAGCAACGGAACAAGGGAGTGTCTGTTTCTAGATATACTTGTGATTTCCTCATGCCCGTGATTTCGTTCAGTGTCCCCCTCCGGCAGTCAGCTGTTTTTGGCAGCCTCAGCATTACCCAACTACACAGCATAGTTAACCGTGACTATTTTCCGTATAGATATTGTTGTGGGCCTTGTAGCTATCGAATACCGTGTCGATATAACATAGCCCTGCTACTACAATGTGTCCCATCCTTCTGTTCCCCATCCTTCCTCCCATGCTACTTGCAACGTTGAATGGTTACCGCGGACGGAGATCCCAACTTGGCCGGCCTGCAGAAGCAAAGCATTAGGTTGAGAAGGGGCTGGGGCAGTGCTGCAGTCGTAAGAGGTTGGTGCAGGAGGGGGCGAGGGTGATGTAGACAATGACCCGGAGAGGGTAGGGCGGGGGAGAGGGGGGTGGGAAGACAGGAGGTAACTGTGCAGGGAAGGCAGGGGGGCATTTTATGAGATCAGTACAAAGTTGGCAGGCTGAAAGGAAATGGAAAAGTGTTCAAGGGGTAACCTTTCCCATAGTCTCTCTGTGACCTTGCCATTTGGCAGCAACTGGTGTTGCTTTCCGGGAAAAAAAAAGAAAAAAAGAAAAAAAAAGACATTTGCTATCTTCTGCTTTTGTTCGTTTTTTTTTTCGGATCTTTGTGCTTTTTCGTTTTTTTTAATATACAACTACACTATGTTCTTCTCTCAAATTCTTTTTGCCTTTCGCTACCTTCCTACCACAAATCCTAAGACTATATTATAGAGGGGACCCCTGCAAGCATAGGGCCTCGCAAACGAGGTAAATCATGTTGAAACTTGAAAACAGTTCAAGAAATTGTTCGAGGTAGGTGGTCCAGCTAGAAACGTTTCTACTCTATTTTTTTCCGCGGCCGATAGCTGGGCCCAAGTACTGGTGGTTTAAGCCTGGCCAATGAGCCTGGCTCATCCCTGCAAGTCGTAGCCATTCATGTGAGGGATGCTGGGCCTGATTCCCCGCCGGTAATGAATTCCTTCTTTTGTTAAAAAAAGACCAAAAAGAAAAAAGAAACCTACCTCGCCACCCGAGGTCATCGGTTCGATTCCGTCTGGCTGCGCATAGATCCGGGCTACAAACTCTGAACTGAACCCGCATAGCAAGGTCAAACAACTTTTTGCCTGTGGCTCCTGTCGAAATTCGTAGATTACACTGGTTCAGTGATGAGATACACATATGCTTCATACCATGCATTCATTCGCATAACGCAGAGTAGCTTGTGTGAACTGAAGGACAATGCACAAAGAACGATGAGTACGCTGCTTGCATTAGCCAGCGGGTTATGGCACCCCGACCGGTTTCGAGTCTTTTGGCCACCGCCACGCGGTCATCCACAGGGGGAACTCCACCACACTTCGTCCCTAGTCCACCATGCCCAACGTTCCGCTAACCGACCACCGCCATCAACCCAACACACATCTCCGGAAATGTCGGCATAGCCAAAATTGAGGGGGGGGGAAAAAGAAAACGAAAATAAACTTGTTCTTTTAGGGAAGCCCCTGTGCCCGACCAGATCCAGACATCTGGACTGCGGACCCGGTGCAGGCCATCTGGTGTCCAGTGTCCCGCAACTCCACGGTAGCCATGATGTCCATGAGTTGGAAGCGCCCAGTACACCCCACCTCCCCCCACCTCCCCCCAATGAGGCCATGAGACATGCAGTTGCATCATTCCTTCCCTCTTGAACGGCAACTGGCCTAGCTCCACCGCTCGGCACTCGCCGAATGTGCAAATGAGGAGGAGGTATACTACTATACTGTCATAAATTTTGTCTTTTGTTCATGTGGGTGAGTGGTGGATCGAGGGCGAAATCTCCAGCCGAAGCAGCCGAGAACCAATGCGCTTACCTCAGCTGGTACACCCATGAACTATCCAAACATACAGAGCTGTGCTCAAACTTCAAATCCAGATAGAACAGTACCTGGGGCTCGTCAGTTTGATGATAATATCTAAAATCCACTGCCCTTTTTGAAAAACGGGGAAAACTTCCGAAAAACGAAGAGGAAGAAAAAAGCAAAAAGAAACGAACAGAGATAAACACAGAGAAGCAATATGATTGATAGTATTATATATAGAGAATTTGAGGGCATACTAAATGTATCTGACTGCAATTATGGCCAGGCATGGAGGAATCTGACTGCAATTATGGCCAGGCATGCAAGAATCTGTGACTGCAATCAGGTCCGGAGCTTAAGTCTTAGTGTGAGTATGCCCTGAGACCAATGTTTAAAATTTTCAACCAAACAAGTCAAACAAATGCACCCACCCATCGCAGAATACTTTTGCGCAGCGCTATGAGCAAAGAGGGGCCGACATCCGCATGGTAATGTAATGCTCATCAGCATATATAAAACATCATTTTTTATTTTTTTATTTATTTTTTAACATCATTTCAAATTGGCCTCAGCTGGTTTTGGCTGACGCAGCCTACGTTTGGCATTTTACTTCGTTGTCATAGTAGAAAGTACTAAAAACATTGCAGGGTGCGGCTTTTCGTAAATGCCAGGACACCCCTAAAGCTTTTATCATTAAAAAAAAAACAAAAAAAAACTTTCATCATTACACCCCCCTTGCTCTCCCTGTCTATTTAAATAGGCTCCACCCAATCCCACCACCACCGAGCCTTGCTCGGTTTGTACAACCCCTGAACTGCTGAAATAAGGTGCTTATAAGGACCCTAGTAGTTCGAACCCAGATCAACCAGTTTGCCGGGCCGGTCAGATCAAAGATGATATCTCACGCCCGCCGCCGTTTCAGAGGGAAAAACAAACAAACAAAAGCCAACCTATCCCTCTAGGTACTAGCCACAGGATGACAGTGATCCTTCTTGAGGGTACTAAATGCTGAAAGGGAATAGCACATCAACCAACCAACCAACCAACCAACCAACCAACCGACCAACCATAAGCTACCGGCCACCTTAACTGTGGTTAAAAGAACCTAACTGGCCACCTACCAGAAGCCTGGCTGGCTGGTTTGCCATGGAAGGCCTTGCTAACAACACCTGTCCACTAACACCTATAAGAACAGACTGATGCCTCTCTGGCAATACAGGGTGATAGACGTCCGCCTGCAGTAGAGTATGAGGCTTGTTTGTGTGTGTGTGTGTGTGTGTGTGTGTGTGTGTGTGTGTGCGTGTGTGTGTGTGAATGTGGCTGTGTTTACGTACAGGTACATCCATGTAGTAACTATTTTATACAATCACCATCATGAAACCCCAAAAATGGTGCCAAGAAAAAAAAAAAAAAAAGGATTACAAGGTGAAAGAGAAAACAATGTCTGGGAGAGGATGACAACAAAAGAACCAGGGAGCAAAAATGAGGTTCTGCGATCCTCATCCGCTGCAGGGCCACCGGCAAATGAGTGGGGGGGGGGGGGGGTTATTTTGGCATGCCATGGACATCTGTACAAAGGCGAGAGGCAAGACATGTGTACCTAACTGCGACTACTGAGAGAACGAAATGGGGAGAGCTGCAACGAACGTATGGAAAGTAGACAGAAACGTATCGGGAGTGGGTGACAGCAAAAGCTGATGACGACAGCAAGTCAATACAGCTGCATGCACAAGCAAGATCTCGCCACTACTGGTAGGCTGTCTGCGTGTGCATGCGAACATTATTTCACCACTGTGAAGATACCTATTCTGGCCACAAATGCTGGTGTTTTGTTGACTGCAGCATGAATACACATGATCTAGGAACCAGCCAGAATTTTCCTCCACAAGAATGACACACACCGCCCCTCCCCCCCAAAGAAAAACACAACGCAAGTTACGCAATGGACTTGCGAGAGAGTGTGCGAAGAAACGAAATGACAGAAGGAAGCTCCAGCTGGTGAAGCAAACTGACAAATGTACTCGGTGCGGGATGGCATTGCAGTCAGCACAGCAGAGCACACCTGATCGCCAGAGATGTCCTCCGTGGCGGATGGTAGCACAGCAGAGCACAGCAGAGCACACCGGATTGGCAGAGTCGCTGGGAGAAGGATGCACTTCAGCACACAGCTTCCATATGCTTTCATGCAGTGCCCGCTCACTACCAAGCTGCCAGTAGTAGACTGACCTGTCAGAATGCCACAAACACTGAAGGTCAGAGGGGGAAGCAGGAGCGCACCCTCTCAGACCAGTTTAAGCCACCAGTTGACATGAGCCGAAGCTGACAAAGCTACCTCTTTTCGGAGTGGCCTTCAACGTTCACTACTGGGCCCAAAGCATCATGGCCTTACGGCGTAAATTGGTACGAGCGCGGCCAAACGACTCCGTCGATATGAGCTCTTGACTTAGCTTTGGGCTAACTGGTGTTATAAGGGGGTACGGGAGAGGGCAGGGGGGGTTAGGTGGACAGGTGTGAGGGGTGTAAGGATGGGCCATTGGAGAAGAAATATTCAGAGATCTGGAGGGTTCTGCAATGCCTTGAAGATATGCAACACCACCACCCCTCTGCAGCACCCCATGAGACACCTGGGGATCCCAGCCTGCTCTACGATATAGTCCCAACCCCGTGAGGAAAGAGACTACAGCCGGCGTCTCTATCAGCCCTCCACCTGTTTGTTGGGTGTAGGATGAGCCAGTGGAGATGAAAAGCGTAGTAACCTGGAGGGTTCTGCAAAGACCCCCACCCCTTCGCAGCACCCGCAAGCGGCACCTGGGTACTCCAGCTTGCTCTACGATAAACTCCCCAACCCCACGACAAAAGAGACTACAGCTGCTGTCCCTATGAGCTCTCTACCAGCTTGAGGGGCCTAGCATGAGCCAGTGTCTCGACAGAGCCGATAACCTGGAGGGTTCTGCAATGCCTCGAAGATAGGCAAGACCCCCAACCCTTCGCAGCACCCCGCAGCGGCACCTGGGAATTCCAGCCTGCTTCTATGATACACTCCTGAGTCCCAACCCTGTGAGAAAAGAGACTCTACAGCCGCTGGCTCTATGAGCTCTCCATCTCCCTTCTGCCTGTTTTCAGGCATCCCCTTGATCACCCAGCAAGCTGAGGAGATCTGTCCAAGCAACCAGATTCTCCAAAGGGTTCTGACAACCAACGACCCTCCTCCTTCGACTCTCTTTCTTCTTCTTCTTCTTCTTCTTCCTCTTCTTCTTCTTCTTCTTCTTCTTCTTCTTCTTCTTCTTCTTCTACAGACCCTCCTTTTGACTCTCTATAATCATCAGTACTCCTTACAGAAAAAAGGTCGATGTGTGTGGGTAATGGTGATTACTTTTCCTTCCCAATTAGCGTGTGTGACGACAATTCATGTCCATTCTCTGAACATCAACATGTCAGAGCAAATTCACAAACGTGCACGGCTTCCCGCCTCTCTCTCCACCCATCGCCAAACTTACAAAACTTTCAAGTTGGACCGCTCTACCTCCCTCCACCTTGAGCTTCATGGCATGCGTCCAACAGACTTGGTGATAATCTAAGCCAACATTTCAATTCTGCTTCCCTCTTTACATCCACGCCGCCTTCCGTCTATTGCGGTCATTTCATCTGTCTCCTCCTCTGTCCATTGCAGTGCCTTTATCTGTCTCCCCGTCCGTGTCCATTGCAGTGGCTTGCTGCTCTATTTCCGCCTGACATCCCTGTGTGTCCCTTCGTGCGAAGACCAACGCACCACCGAGTTTGGCGAACTCCTTCGCCAACTCATTTGCATGATCAGTCACCGCTGAACTCGATTGCACACACACTCCGACATTAGATATACCAGCGAGTGAGCCCAGCTCATCCTTACTCCTCGTCCTTTCCCTCCTCCTCCTCCTTCCCCTCCCCCTCCTCCTCCTCCTTCCCCTCCCCCTCC